GCTGGCCCACCACCTTCACAGAATCTCCTCCTGAGGTCTGCAGCCCAGAGTGACCTCCTCCCTTTCCCTGGGCTCATCTGGCATTTAAACAAGGTTCTATAGTGTTAGGCATTTGATTACACATTGGACTGTGTTGCTCTCCAACTGTTTCATATCCATGTGTTCTTAAGGGCAGCTCTGTCACTTGTAGTCCTTTTGATAACTCCATTCACATCTAGCCCAGTGTTGGGTACATAGTTGGTATTCTTTCTAGAGTTAACATTTAATTAGCATCAGTCCTGTAAACAAACAGGACAGTAGTATACTAGAAAGAGCATGAGATTTGGAGACAGATTTTGGAGTCACATCCTGATTATACCACTTTTTCGCTGTGTGACCTTGGACAAGTCACTCCCCCCCCATCCTGTTTCCTCATCTGTACAATGGGGAAAAGAAAACCCACCTTAAACGGTTATTGTAAGAAGTTAATTATGTAAAATAACTTCCAGCAAGCATCAAGCATAGATCCTGGCGCACAGCAGGCATTTAACAAGTTCAATAGTCATGCAATTATGCCAGATAGTTCTAAAAAACTTACTCTAGTTTCTCCATTTTACAGTTGGAATGTCTGAGACCCTCACAAAGATACTTCACCCCTGTGTCCCCGAGGGGATTTTCACTCAGGTCCAGCTCAGTGAGGTTTGGATTGCAAGTGAGAACAGAGGCAAGATATTTGCAAACAGTCTCTGAGCTTTCAGGGAGAAAGCTAGCACACAACCTGGAAAGAAAGATAAACAGACACAGAACTGGCTACTTTATCATCCTACTCACCCTCTACCCACAAAACATCACGAGCAGAGAAAATAAAGGCCCACCCATACAAGACTCCCAACCTTGAATATGTCACAGCCCCCTTTCACACATGGGAGGGACTTGTACATTGCTCCCACAACACTGTATCCCCCAGTGAGAACTCAATAAATGTCGACTGCCCAAAAAAGAAAAGAATTGGGAGGAAATATCAAGACGACCCAATCTCATTTTAATTCCCTGCATGAATTAAGCACTCTCATATCTTCTTTCAAATCCGAGGGGAAAATGCTACAATCATCCTTAACAAATTTTACAGTCAAAGGAGCTTTCCTTTCCTCTTATCTGTAAGTTCATTATTAATTAATCTACCATCCTTAGAGAAACCCAGCCCATCACCATCATCCATATAATATTCCTTCCTTGGTCCAAAGACTAGTTTTTACTGATTTTTCTGTCTTCTCAATCTTTATTTCTCCATATTAAGTAGTCCAATTCTTTGAACTATTTCCCATCAACTTTTTCTTCCATCACTTTCAAGAATTTCTATGATATTTACTACAACCTTTGAGTCCTCAATTTTCTCTTGAGTTATCAATCTTGAAGAAGGCTCATGAGGACATGTATCTATATCTCTCCAACTTAGAAATTTTAAATAGAGATATTTTGCAAAACAATGAGTTTCAAAGTGGATTTAGAAAGTGTTAATGCTAAAGAACTTTTGCCTCAGAAAACCCCACATATATATTGTGATGGTTAATTTTATGTGTTAAGTTGGCTAGGTCATAGTACCCAGATATTTGGTCAAATATTATTCTAGATATTTCTGTGAAGGTACTTTTTAGATGAGATTAACATTTAAATCAGTAGACTCTGAGTTAAGTAAATTACCCTCCATAGTGTGGGTGGTCCTCACTCAATTGAAAGTTTAATAGAAAAAGACTGACCCCCTGGGAAGAAGAGGGGATTTTGCCAGAAGAATGCCTTTGGACTTGAACTGCAACACTGGCTCTTCCCTGTGTCTCCAGTCTGCTGGCCTACCCTGCAGATACTGAACTTGACAACTGCCATAATCTGTGTGAGCCAATTACTTAAAATAAATCTCTCTATATGTTCATATACATTTATTGGTTCTGTTTCTCTGGAGAACCCTGACTAATATGAATATGATAAATTTCTTAAGGCCATTACACGGACTTCGAAGTTGGACACATCTGGGTTTCTAATTGTGCCTCTGCCATGTTATTTAGTCTTATGACCTTGGGTTTCCACTTCCTCATCTGCTAAAATGAGGATAGTAATCTGAATCTCTTAGAGCTGTTGTGCAGATTAAAGGAAATCATGTTTCCAAAGCATTCAGCACAATGCTTAGCACAAAGTAATTGCTCAATAAGTGTAGGCTATCATTATTGTCATTAATGTTATTGCCACTTACAATGAAAATTCTCTTCCTATAATTTTTCTGGAACAGTTTTAGGGTCTGCCACTTTTATTCTTCCTCTCCATGACTCCTTAAGTGTGCTCTGATCATACAACATCCATGTTGAATTGCACATTTTAAAATTTTTTCTTGCAGTATGGAAACTAATAGTGACAACTTACTTGAGCTTCTGTAATTTGCAATTTGGATCTTTTAAACCATCACAGAGCAATTTCAAAGCTGAAGCTTCCAGTTTTGTTTCACTAAATTCCAGCTCAGTGAGCCACTGATTTGTGCTGAGAACAGCTGCTAGCGCCCCACAAGAAGCAGAGGAGATAAGGCATCGGTACAACCTTCAGAGAACAGAAGAATGACCTCATTATCTTATTCATACTCTCCCCTCTACACACACAAAAAGAATTGACAAAAAATGACATAAAATGACACGAACACACACAAATTCTCCTGCTATCAGTTACCTCAATGTCTGTAAGATACAGTTTGGCTGTTTTAATCCTTCACATAGAAGCTTCATTCCTGAATCTTCTAGGGTATTTTTCACAAATTCCAAATCTGTCAGATACTGGTTGGTTTCAAATACTAAGGAGAGGTCTCTGCCACAAGAAGCCGTGAGGTGGCAGAAAATCAGTCTGTGTGGAGAAAAAGACATTTCAGAGAAGAAAAGAGAACTCTCTTTAAAGGTACCTCTTTGCTCCTTACTGATGTAATGAATTATTTCACTTCATTCAACAATTAACTTATTGAGTGTTTACTGAAAACACAGAAATAATTAAGACTCAGACCCTGCCCTCAAGGAATGCCCAGTTAATGGGGAAAAATTAGAAAATCATGGATTATAATACAGTGTGTAAAGTACTGCAAATGGTATTCACAAGGTATCATGGAGACACAGAAAGGTGGCACAATTCAGCCTAGCATGGGGTGGGGTTTAGAAGATCTAAAAATACTTGTAAGAGGAGCAAATACTTGAGTGCTGTTGTGAAAGGATAATAAAAATTTAACAGGAGTTAGGTGGATGAGGAGAATGAGAGTGGGGACAGCAGGAGGGGCTGAGGTACAATTCACTCATGGAGCAACCTGTGCAAAAGCCAGGAGGTAAGAGAGGGGATGCTTCATTTGAAAAACTACCAATTATTTGCTACGGCTTATTTTAAAATACTGGAGGGCATATATCAAACTATTAACCATGGTTATCTTCCAGGTTGGAGGGAAGGGTTGGACTACAGGGAGACATTTACTTTCCAGGTATTTTAAAATTGTTTACAATGATCAGAAGTTATCAGAAAAATTATTTTAAAAAGTTTGAAAAATACAATGCATGCTTATTATAGATAATTTTTACAATTGAGAAAAATGTGAAGAATAAAGTTTTTAGTATATGTGCTGCTGAATGAGCACAAGAATAAAGTTTTTTTCAGAAAGTACTGTATTCCTACCATCAAAAGATAACCACTGTTAAAATTTGGAATATAATTTTCCAGATTTTTAAGGCATGGATACATACAGCATTATATGTTCCCTGTAACAGATGAAACCACAGAAAGATTTACTTTTAAGAGATGAAAACTTTTCCCCAACTTCTCCAAACGCCACCTACCAGAGATATTCAGAATATTAAGAGTCTGGCGTATATCCTACCACTTCCTTCTCCAGGATTATAGAAACATATGCAAACATACACACACATACACAGACACACACACACACACATTGTACACACATGTACAAAATGTACATTTTACAAAAATTAAACCATAGAAAACATTACTATTTTACATGCACTTTGTCATTCAGTCCTCATCTTAGACCCATAGGTTAAAAACTGAAAGTTAACTATAGCACAAGGTCATATAGTATAAGTGGCAAAGTAGCACTCAACCTGAGGGCTGTCTGGATTATTCTCTAGGCCTCAAAAAGCCATTAGAAGTTTAAAGAGACAGTCAGATCCCTCTGACGACAGGGTAGGACAAGAGACAAACCTGGTGTTAGAGGGAGGCAGTGGTCTAGGGAAGAAATTATTTGGAGGGAGGGGAAGGGCTGGACTGGGATGATGGGGGGTGCGGAGGTGGACAGATTCAAGACACGTTTTGGGGGCAGGTGTGGCCAGAATTTATGACCATTTGAGGTGACGGGGGTTGAGGCTGTACTCTGCCTCCACCTTCCTCCTCCAGCGGGTAGCCGAAGCCATTTGGGGGGTGGGGTGGGGCTGTTCCCTATTCTAGAGTATTCCATGTGTAGGAGAGGCGCGCTTCCTGGGTGGGACAAACCATTATGGTGGGGATGGGGTGGGACTTTCTATATTTGATTACAAGCGCTTCGCTTTCCTGGTTCTAAGTCTTTTCTTACCACTACAGTTTCTTCCCGCCTTCAAAGATTTTCAAAAGTGTAGCGCATTCCCTTATGTCGGGGGTGGGGGAAATGTGGGGAGTCTCCCTTGTGCACCCTTCCTACCTCCAGTGTTTCTGGAAGTTGGTACAGTCCCAAGGGAAAAGCCTGGAAGGGTTGGCGGGAGGCTCTCTCTCCTGTTGGAGAAAAAGAGGTCCCCTCTCTCTCTGGGCATGGTAGACAGGCGTGTTTGCCCTGCATCCCCACTGATCCCGAGGTAAGGCCTGATGGGAAGTGTCCTGGGTGGGCAAGCCAGTCAGGGGTTCTTGTTCTTTACAAGAGTGTGAAAGGGGAAGGGAAGAGGAAGCAGAGATGAGAAGATAGGGGGGTGGACAACTGATTCCTCTCCGCAGGGCCAGCCAAGCCCCAAAGGCCCTCAGCCAGCATGGCCTTGAAACCCGAGGACCCTAGTGGTAGGTTCCAGCATGGCAAGGTGGTGGCCTTCATCAACGAGAAGATGGCCAGGCACTCAAAAGGCCCTGAGTTCTACCTCGAGAATACATCCCTGTCCTGGGAGGAGGTGGAGGCCAAGTTCCTGGAGGACACTGAGGTGTCCAGCGAGGCCAAAGAGGCCTGTGCCCAGGGCAGCCTGGCCCTGGGCATGCGCTTTGCCCACAGGCAGACCGTTAAATGAGCGCAGAGTGCAGTGCCTGCATGATTTTGCAAGACTGCTAAAGTCAGCTGCGTAGACCTTGGCCTCAGACCTAAAGTTGCTCACAGCGCAGCGGGAGGTGGAGCGTAAGGAGGCGGCCGCCCAGCTGTGGCTGGCCCAGGCCAGCCTGGCAGAGATGCGGAAAGAGCAGGACCCACTGAGGTGAAAGCTCCTTCACGCTGTAAGATTGCCCTTTTTGGTCCTGCCCCGCCCCCTGGACAGGTCTCAATTCTGCCTATTTCTCTCCAGGAGCGGGTCGCAGAAGGGCCAGGCCTGGCCACTGCTACTGGGGCTGGCACAGGAGCAGGTGAGGTGGAAGAGAAGGCGGAAGCCACAGCTACTAGTGCTTCTGCTTCTGGCGCCACAGGAGGAGGAGGAGGAGGAAGACAGGAGGATCCAGAGGATACAGACGATGCAGAGGCAATGGAGAAACTGGGTGAAGACCTTATGAAGCTCCTCGGAGCTGCGGACCAGAAAAATTACACCTCTAGCAGGCAGAGGGAGGGAAATCTAAGATCACTGGAAACACCCATGGTTTATTTATCTGGGGCAAAAACATCTAGGTCCACAGTCTCACCGGAACTGCTTCCTGTCCAGCTGCCTGCCTCATTCACAT